CACCACTATTGCAAAATCTCCATATGGTCTTAATGACAATATTTGCTTTTTAATAATAAGTAAAATTTAAAAATATGTTTTTATTAACCATTGCATAAGAAAAATATTTTCTTTGTGCATATTTAATTTGTTTCACTTTGTGTACAACCTATAGAGCCTTCAAATCATGAGCAAAGATGATTTTTTTATGTATAAGGGAATTGATGCAATATAAAAAAGAAACTATGAAAGATTACATTAAATGAAAGGAAATTGGCCACCTCTAATTGTCAACCTTGCAAACTTTTAAGAGACGCCATTAAGTAAGCTTAAAATTTTTCTTACCACACTTTATATTTCTTAAGAATATAATTTTATAAAGTTATGATGAAGTAATAAAGTTGTAAAATTATCAAAATATTAAATGTAACGTATGCTAAGTTTTTAGTCCAAGGTGAAATTAGTTTTCCACAAAACTTGCCACCACACCTTGTAATTTCATCCAAAGTATTGTTAATGTGCATGACAGAGTTTTTAAGGTTCTAAGCGTGATCCTTCATATTTTTAGCAATATTAAACAAGTGTAAACAACCCTTGAGTTTTTAAGAAGGAAAATTAAATATGAAACAATTTTCATGCAAAGACTTCATGGCATGCCACCCTTTCCTCATTTTTTCAATATTTCATCTTTTTTTACCTCTTTTGAGACTTTGTCCAAAGTTAATCCTTTCCTACTGTCTTTCTAGCACCTTGTTTGATACATTTGTCAAGATCAACTAATGCCTTCTACCTTATATGACAACTTTACCTCATCCCTCGATTGATTAGTCAATTTCTCCCAATGGCCTGGTTCCCTTATGGGTCCATTGACACCTCTTTCTAATGACTCGTCTCTCAAATGGATTTTTTCACATCTCTTCCAAATGACATAGTTCATAGATAGGCATGTCGGTGATTTTTTTAAGATGTTTGGTAAGCCATGGACCCTTGCTAGCAACCGATTTTGATTCTTATGCCACTAACTTTCTCTCTCCATAATCTTTCGTCATCTATATTATGAGGAGGATATTAGGAAAGCACCTTATTGCCCTTTCAAAATAGGGAACATGACAGGAAAGACTTCTGCTCACCCACCAATCTTGCACAATATTTGTTGGCATGATAATCATGCTTATCAACTTTTCTTCACTCTAAATCCCCCACCTCTTGACTTCCCCAAGGTTGGTATTATAATCTCATGGAGTAGTTCCTCATGTGTAATCTCATTAGAGGTTAAAGGAGAAAGGAAGGATTCTTATAAGTAACCTTCACTTCAAACTAGTCAATATCTAAAAGAGTCACTACCAAACATCTTGTCTTACAAGTATATGCTTACTATAGTGAAGCCATTGAGAGTACTGATGATTCATGAGAAATGTAATATACAAACATTTCATTTCATTTTTTATTTGGTGTCATTCATATCTCCTGACCATCAATGGGTTCTAAAAATGATACGTCGCCAAAAATCTCCTTGATACAGCATGAATCTTGAGGCATATTCAAGTTAAAGATCTCCTAAATTATATTTGGGACCATCCAAACTCCAATTTCAATAAACTTATAGTCAAATTGAACATGTTGAGGAGATGAACCCTACGACATCAAAATTGGTCTTATCCGAGCACAAATAGGAACAAATCAGGTGATCAAAGCATATTTGGAATGTTCAAATCATTAATTGGATGATAAAATGACCTCTAAATATGGCATGCTTATAGTCCAATCGAGCTGCTCAACAAGTTGAATCCATCGAGCCCAAGATTGCTTAATTATGATATAATTTAGGCACATAAATGCTTTACAAATGATCTGTGATCCAGGGATCAATATGGGTTGTTCGATAGAGCACTTCAAAGTAGCCCCATATATTCTTTATATTAATGGGGCATGCCACTCTAAATTTTTTTTAAATAGAACCCTCTTCCCGCATGAAAGGGGGCCTAGAACTTTACAAGCTTAGACCCTTGGGCTAGATATTAGAAAGAGCTTTAAAGCTTTGAGGATCCTAGAGCTCCACCCAAGTAGCACCGTAGGAAAATTTCCATTGGCAGACTGGACCACAACCTGTCCGCCGACCACAACATGTCCGCCAACCACCTCCCTGCTGCTGACCTCCACCAAACCTTTGTCAGATTGCTAACCCCCACTGGACCACCGCTTGGCCACCAATCGATATTTGAATTATTGCCCGACTGCCAATCTCCCCCATACTTCCACCCGACCATTGTCAGAACACCGCCAGTCCTCTAATCTCCATCAAACCCCAGCATGATTGCTAAATGCAGTTGGACCATGGCTCGACCACTAACTAATCGTCGTACCATCGCTCGGCTGCTAATATCAATTGGACTTCCGCCCAACCATCGTCGAACCAGCGCTTGGTCACCAACCATTATCGGACCACTGCTTGTTTACCAATCACTATTGGACCTCCGCTTGACTATTTACCACTGCCGAATATCCGTCAATCCATCAACCACAATCATACTTATTCCAGGTTGCCTTCAATACACCACTCTGACCACCATTGCCTGCTGATCGACTACGATCCCTCCAACCACCATCACTTGCCGACTACGATCTCTCCGACCATCGTTGCTTGATTACAGTCCTAATACCAACCGAACGAATATGCCAACACTCTCTCGGGAGCAACTCTTATATCACTAGATTCTTCCAACTCCCCTCATATAATGTGCTCTTTATGATGTATATTTTCTACATCGAGCCAAAGTCATCCCCCTAAGGAAGGGTCTCATTTGTAATCAATAATAAATACTAGTAGAATTATTTTAAACTGACCATATCCCATGGTTTTTTCTTCATTTTTCGGGATTTTTCACATAAAAATCTTAGCGTCTCTTATGACTCTTGCACTACTCTCTTTTATCTGTATGTGTATTGAATATTCATTCAAAACTAAGATGTTAAGCTCTTTATCTCTCTACTGCCGCGAAAGTCACATGACACAACAAAACTGAATGACTACTCTCTAAACTGTCTCCAAAATAAGCATGAGAAAGGCTGGCAAGCCCTTACATATCAATAGGATTCTTATAGCTAGACTAGTTTAACCTTTGGCATTAAGTTTGTACGCATCTAAGTTGTCAGAAAATTCATTTGACAGAGATCTATTCTTCATTTCTTCCCCTTCATATTATCACCTATCAGGCCATCGACCATGCTGTCGTAGCTAATGGCCTTCAATATTGCCAGGTACCTTAAAAGTTATCGGCTTCTGCAACAAAACTTCCCTGAAAGTCGTCTCCCTTGGTTGCAAATTAGTAGGACATCTTCTCCCGGCCTACAAAAAACTTCAAACATGATCAGATCCTGTAGTTTCTACAGTTATTTTTTTATGGATTAGGCTTACCATGGAAGCGTCAGAGGAATTAAATAACAAATTTTATATAAACAAAAAAGCAAAAGTGAAATGTGAAGACTACAACTCTCTGGCCCTGAGATGGGGCAAATTATTACGTCCGGTCACCAGATGTTCGGACATCCAATCCAGACGCGTCACGTCATCCAAATACAATGTGGCCAATGTATTTTGGTGACGTGGCGCGGCTGGATTGGTGTTCGGATGAATCCGGACACCGGATGTAATAATTTGCCCTGAGATGGTGGCCTTCTCGTCGTTTTGTCCACACAAGCAATGTAATCAAATGAGCTAAGGGTCGCCACATCTAATAGCCATCGAAGATAAATGAATTCTCTCAAACCATTAAAATATTCATGCTTCCAAACCACCCTCTCTTGTTGGAGAAATTATTAAGTAACTCTATATCCGAATTATGAGTGTGCGTACACACATATACAGTGTGCAAATATACACTATGTATATTTATATATAGTGTATATATATACACTCATAATCCGGACGTATCTCGATCTACATCTGAACACCGCGCAGCTCCTTGTCCAACCATAAATCAGGATTTATAGTTTTCAAGATTTAACTATCTCATAATTTAATAAATAAGAATTTATAGGATTTGGAATTAGATTCTACTTGCAGCTACACACCACCGTAAAAAATTCTTTTATAATTTTATCTCGTGTGTTTTAATAACAATTATATTTATGAACATCCAATTACTTAATTATATTATCTAATAATTTAATTTTAATTATTTTTAAAATGATCTTATTGTTTAATATTTTAATTAGATTAAGGGATTATTTGGCTACCTAAAAAATGAATGCAATGTAAAAGAAATGTAGTGTAAATTAAATATTTTAGAGTTGTTTCAATAAGTACAAAAGAAATTCATGAGATTATTTTTTTGTTTAATTTGAAGTAAAATGAATGCAATATAATTAAATTTCAAAGAGAGTAATTGTTAGTTGCCAACACTAGGGATGGTATTGGTGGAGATTGGCGAAGATGGCTCACAAGGATGGAGTTGGAGGGTGGCAGCAGCTGGCAGGGATGGCCAGAGGGTAATTCACTGGCGGCGGTGGTGGTTGACAGTGGATCGTGGTGGTGGGTGGTGTTGAGGGTGGCTAGTGGGCAAGGCGGTGTTGTGGCTGATACTCATTTGCGGTGGTGGCTAACATGGTGTAGCGAGCGGCGAGTAATATATGGTAGCGAGCTGCGAGCGATGGGTGGTGATTGGTGGTAGGTGCGACGACGTTGGCAGTAGACAATGGGCGACAGGCATGTCGCAACTACGGTGGCACCAAAAGCAGCTTGACTTCAATTGGTTGCAATGAAAAAGATTTCACTCAAAATTAGATGAATTTACTTTACCTCAATAATAAACTAAAATATTTTACATTGTATTTTATATTATTTACATTCTATTTCTTTTTCAACTAATGAAATCTTTATGCATTTAATTCTTTACAGTTCTTTATTTTCAACCAAACATCCTAAAAAAATTAAAAAAAGACGCTACACGAAATTAAAGATATATTTATTAGTAAATCAAGATATCGTACTATTTCCCCCCCCTATAGGCTATAAGTTAGCACCGCAGGCCCTTCACTCCCTGCAGCGAGAAAAAAGACGAAGATGAAAATGTACATCATCATAAAGCTAATCCCCCCTTCTCTCCTCTTCCTCTTCTTTCTCCCGCTTCTCTCCTCATCCGCCAGACTCCTCCCATCCCCAAGTTCCACCACCGAATTCATCAAAGACAAATGCAACACCACCGAATTCCCCCATCTCTGCATCACCTCCCTCTCGTCCTACGCCCCCTCAATCGGCGACAGCACCATCCAAATGGCCCATGCCGCCCTCAACGTCAGTCTCATCAGCGCTCTCGCCACCTCCGTCACCATGACCAACCTTTCAGCCGGCGGGCGCCTGTCGGCAAGGGAAGCCGAAGCAGTCAGCGATTGCGCGGAAATCCTCGCCGACTCGGTGGACTCGCTCCGCAACTCGCTGAAGCTTATGGGTCGACTCAGCGGACGCGAGTTCGGGGAAAGAATCGATGATGTGCAGACTTGGGTGAGCGCTGCCCTCACAGACGACACGACCTGCATGGATGGTTTCTCCGGCGAGGCGATGAACGGGGACGTGAAGAGGATGGTGAGGGGAAGGGTTGTGAGGCTGGCGCAACTGACGGCCAATGCGCTGGCTCTGATTAACGAACTCGCCCCGCTGCCTTGAAGTCAGTAATGGTAATTAAAGGATAATTAGAGGGTAATAGAATCTGTATGTTTTGTTGTGAGACTGAAAAGTTTGTAAATTTTTTGGGGAATGAAAAGTTTGTAAATAGATCTGAATCTTCCTAAAGAAGTTACTTTATAGTGTAATTTTATATGAATATAAAAATAAATTTGAATGTTATTTTATAGTGTAAAAGAAATATCATAAAATGTTATATAAATAATTTATATTTTTAATCAAATGTAATATTTTATAGAATATTAATTTGTCTTATAACATGTACTTTGGTATTAATTTGTTCTGCTGCATAGATCGATGGTACTGTGAGCATCTACAATGGCCTAAGCAGCAGGGACCTCATATCTAAGGGCATCTCCAACCGAAAATCTCATTTTTCATTCCAAAATGCAGGGAAATAAAAAAATGCCGTGTTTCATCTCCAATCCAACACCATTTTGTCGCTAAAACCGTTCATTTTCTTTAGCGCCTTTCTTACCAACCTGTTCGGTATAGAGAAAAAAAATGGCGCAGATGAACAGTGCACGCCAATATTGGCGTCGCACTGTTCATCCGCGATCAAATGACGTCAAAAATGACGATCGGTTGGAACCAAAGCGAAGACGGCTAAAATTGGAGATGCCCGCTAACTAGCTCGCAATAATGGAGTGTCTGGTGGTATACTCAAGTGGAAAATTAGGTTGCGCAGCACATATTTGTCCTCCTCTTAACTCTTAAGCCATTTAATGAAAGTTCCAGCTATAGTGAAGCAGGGTTGAATAGCAAAAAGAAATATATTTACATAATATATATATATATATATATTTATATATATATTATATATATATATATATATATAATATAATATATATATATATATATACTATATACTTCTCTGACTATCATTATCTGAGTTTTCTCTGATATATTATTATAAAAAAGTTTATTATTTGGTTTAAGGCTTTAATTAAAAAAGTTATTTTCTTAAGATTGGATGATAGATATCCGTGCCCTAATAAATTTTTTAAAATATATTATTTATTTTTTTTTATAAAATTTTTTTGTCCGCTTTCTTAATAAAATTTATATTTTATATAATTATTAGTTTAGATTATCATTATTTAAGAAAAATTGTTAAATAATTTTAATAATTTAATATAATTAATATGTTTTAAAATTTTTAATAAAAAATTATTATTAAAAAAATTAGATTATAATCTTTTTAAATTCTTTTTTAAAATGTTTAGATATTTTTAAACTTTATATAATTTTTTTTCTTAATATTTAATGATTAAAAAATTATAATATTAAATTCTGATTAATAAAATTATATTAAAAAATTTTTGTTACAATATTAGAATAAACATTTAATATTAATATAAATATTAATATATAACATTTTAATTCTTATAAACATGATATTCTAATAAATTCAGTGAATGTCTTAATGATATCATAATTTTGCAATTTTTGGCTCGTTGATTCGTCTCGTGAGCCGCTGATACAACTAAAGCATGTCAATTTGTAAACCATTTGGTAGTCCAAATTATGATTTGAACCTTTCAAATGCTTGGTCTTTGATTTCGACTCATTTTGCCCGGATTAAGTCGAAATTGTGTCGTTGAGTTTGTATTTTTCGAGACGTTCAGTTCGACTGTAAATAACTGAAATCAGAGATCAGATGATCTCACGGTTTAATTTTTTAATGATACATCAAATATAAACATTTAATTAAATTAAATTAATAATTGACTTTCAACTGGATAAGAAATTTTCAAATATATAAACTGAATCTGCATTTCAAGAAATTTTTTCTCAAAGCGAAATTGTTCTATGAAACAGATGGGGATATATCTGAACTAAATTGCATGTTTTCTGAGAAAATAAGAGAGTACATGTGACATTATAAAAAAATTCTTTCATTTTTTTATTACAAAAATTATATTTTTATGTGTTGAACAACAGAGACGTTGGAAGAGAACTTGCCCAATATCAGAACTTTTATTACGTCCTCTGACCGGACGTAGATCTAACTTCGGTCAAAGGATGTTACTCGATTTTTGCTCGCGTATTTGGTCGGTATGCTAGGTAATTGTTTGATAATAACGAGAATATCACATAGGAAGACCAATACCGAGTAATACCAGGCAATACCGAGCAATACCGAGTAATACCAAAAATACCGAGTTTTTTCTAGAAAAACTCAGTATTTTTTTGTAATAACTCGGTATTGCTCGCGTATTACTCGGTATTTTTTCTTCACATAATGATATTTTTCGTTATTATTGGTATTGCTCGGTATTTCTCGGTTTTGCTCGTTTGTGCCTGGCCGATCTCTAGTAGCCGAACAAATAAAAGTTCCCAATATCAAGCCTCACGTTCGAAGCACACCACCTCGTTTGACATAGCTCTTCTTATTTCTCTTAAAAGCTATAATTATTTTTTAAAAATTATACTAGAAAGTTATTTTAGAAAATAATAAAAAAGATATACCAAATGAAGCTTAACTTCTAAAATTAACATTTGAGATTTTTATTCATCGGCAAAAAATAATTTTTTTTTTTTATTTCGGCATAGAAAATATGTTAGATTTGATTTATATTAGAAAGATAGAAGACTTAAAAAATAGTTATAAATTTATAAAAAATATATATTTTTATTAGTATATTAAAGAAAAACTTATAGTTCTTTCATTAGAACACTAAATAGGGAAAAGATTCATCATAACTTAACCACATGTCGTGAAGATCAAGATTGAGACTTCGTTTGCACAAGATCTTTCTTAATGCTTTATTAAAGAAACAATTTAACTAGTACAATTTTTATTTTTAATTTTAAAATTTTTACTAAATAAAGTTGCGTTCATTAAAAGAACCGCCAGTTCTCCCGAACGAAGTAATTAAGTTTCATCCTTTACCGGACAAGCCTCTTTTTCTTATGTGCTTTTCTAAAAAACTTTTTAGTTTTTTTTTAATTATAATTTTTTGCGCTAGAAACCTATTTTACAAAATAATAAAAAAGCTGCCCCAAATACAGTCTTAAATGTTGTTGTTGTTGGCACATACGTTAACTCTTTAACAATATTTCTCCTTCAAAAATTAAAAAATAAAAAGCAATAATTTTTTTCTCCATCATACAATGTGTAGGATTTCTTAAACAACAGAGAATTGGGATTATGTCAGTTTTGGCTTGCTAAAAGGAGAAATTATTGTGCACCAGATGGTTCGGAGACCAATCAAAAATTATCACGTCAATATACGGGTGACACGTTTTGATTGATTTCCGGATGCGAGACAAAAAAATTTTCTGCTAAAAGACGGACCCTTTAGTTTTCGTTTTCATGTAATAATTTGGACGGTTTAGCTGCTTATGGTCAAGAACTCATGATGCTAGGCATCACTAAGTACTTAGATATTTTTTTTGTTTATAAATTTAAAAAGATTTATTTTAAATTAAAACCTAATTTCACTTCAAACAGAAATAGATCCAAATCCTGCTTCTGTTCTTCAAGTTGGACGATGTGAACGTGTGAACTGCTGATCTCTCTGAAAAAAAAAAAAAGGAAAAACATTAATTTTAGTTTCTTGAAATTTTAGGAATTGTTTCTTGCGCAGGGGAAATTGGATGGGTCATTTAAAATCTCTTTTATTTTTTATTTTTATTTAAATTCAATATAAAATAAAATATATTTGACATGTTAAAAATATGCTAATTTTTATTTTCGTTTAATTAAATGACTTGTTTTAAGCAAAGCATGTAGCAGCTATGGATAGGGCGGCGATGCCGGTCGGCCAGATGATAATAGGGGTGGTGAATATCGATTGTGATAATTATTTTAAAAATACTCAAAATAATATTATTTTAGAATGATTTGATTTACTGAAATTTTTAAAAAACACACACACACACATATATATATTTTTGAAAATAGAAATTAAAATTATCACAAACCCTAAGAAATTATTTTTAATCTTGATGCAAGGGCATATTTAATATCAAAAAAATCATAAAATTAGTAGTAAATTTAAGAATTTTTACCTCAAAATTTGCAAATTAGTTATATTAAACTCGAATCCAGGCACATTTATGCACAAAACAAAATTGTAAACCAAAATGTAATAATAGGTGTTTGCCCACTTACATCTACTTGAATTATCGGCTCTCCTCTAGGGTTTAGGATTTCCATACTGCCTTCCTCCATGCATCGCTTCCTCTCTCCATCCTCTTCCTCTGACTATGGTCGGAGATTAGCTTCTATTGTGAAATGGCCTCCTCCCATGTCCTGGCAAGCTTTATACGGCAAGGTGCTTCCCACATCGCTCTATGAATTCCTTCTCTCAGATAACCATGGATCCTTTGTTCAATGATGAAATGCCCTCCTTGGAGCCAAGCCAAGCTCATATTCTCTTTTAAACAAATAAGCCTTTTCTTCACTCTATACCTCCAACTCCTCCAATCTTTCATTTGCCTTTGCTCCTCTAAACTAGAAAGGCCTCTTAAGCTTTAAAACTTTTCCCTTTCTTACCTCCCATGCTCAAATGCCGCCCTTTCCTTCTTTGATGAGGAACCTGCTGAAGGATCTAAAGAATGGAAGATTGCTTTGGTTGGCTACTGTCTTGGAAAATGGTCATTTTATGAGCCCTCCTTGACACCGTCAAAAAGACTTGGTATTCGAAAGATAACTTACTGTTGCTTTCTCTCAATGAAGGCTTCTCCTCTTAATTTAATTTTTTGTAAAAAGAAGACCTTGATCTGGTTTGATTGGAAAGACTATGGCTTTTATTTGGTGAGCCATTTATCTTAAAGAAGTCATTTGCTAACTTCATATCAATCATGGAGTACTCTTTTTCTCTATGGATCAAAATTCTGATCTTTTGCTATCTCATTGAATCTAATGGGCATCTAAAAAATAGCAATCAAAATTGATGTTCTTCTCACCATCACCACCCTCACAAGTAATAAGTCACTTTTTACTTTTGCTAGAGTTTGTATTTAGGTCATTAATGGCTTAGACATGCTACATAAGATCAATATTATTTTAATGGTAAATAATTATCCTTAAATGTTTTATATGATTAGAAGT